GGGGGTTTGATACCATAGAAAAATGGGGTAGATTTAAATTTTTATATTGTATTATTTATTTATTTATTTTTTTTAAGGACTGGTTGTTTTAAAGATGTCTGAAGATTGTTATTTATTCTATGTGATGTGTGACTTGTGACATGGCAATTACAGATGAGTGGATGCCAGAAACTCCTTGAAATTACTGTCAAAGCATGCTCAAGGTTTCACATCTCAGGACTGTTTCTTGAAAAAGGTGGTGGAAAAGCTTTCACAAGATGGTGTAAAATCACAAATATCACAGTGACTGAAAGAAGTGGGATGCTATATTGCATAGAACTGAAAAAAAAATGAGATTAACTTCTGCAAACACATTTTGAGGCTGAAATGATAGGGGTAGTTGTACATGGGGATGGCAATTGTTAGCAAATCTTGCCATGGATGCACTTCTCTGTATAAAAAATATTAGTCAGTTTTCTTACAGAGGGTGTCTTGTCCAGTTCTGAACAATTCTACATTGATCAAACAGGGGGAGTGAGCAAGAGCAAGGGTTAGCTCAATGCCCAGATGGGGTTTTTCCTTTCTCTGCAGTTAGAAATATTTAATTTTCTGGGTCATGATGCATTTTTTGTTTGATTTTTTGCATGTGGATAACAGGGATATAAACTCTTACAGGTCAATTCCAGATGCCTGGGAATGAATGGCTGTGGCTCTTCCTGACAGGAATGGAGTCACCCTTCCCATCTTGCGCTTTCACCCCACACAACCCCCAGGAATGGGATCCCTCCTTTCCCCCTGGGGGTCCTCTGGCCAGTGGAATTCCACCTGTTTCTGGACACATCCAGCTCCACAGGAAGAGTTGGATGCAGAGGCAGAAGATGCTGGATGGGTTTCCTGAGATGCTCCTTAGATATTTCCATAGGGAATGTCGAATGTCTGGGGCCAGGGGCTAAGGAAAGGACAGCTCCTTGGTTGGCTTCCAAGTGCTGGACGCTTAATAATGAGAGAAAGAAAGGGATAAATGCGTGGAAATGGGATATCCCCAACCAATTTTGCAGCACTACAGCTCTGTCATTTACCTTAAGCCACTTTGCTTATTTAAATCCTTTTTATTGCTTCTTTTCTTTTATTAGGAGTGAATTTTGCATTGCCAAGACATTTGAACTGCCTAGGGGAAAATCTTTATTCCAGGCTGATTCCATTTGGCTTGAGGGGCAGGTGTTTATTGCAAAGGGCCTTCCAGGGTAGCTCTTGGCATGCTCAGAGTCCTGACTGTGCACCAGCCTCACGAGGGCTTTCCTTCATCCCTTTTCTTCTGGAAAAGCTGGGCCAGAAGCAGCTTCATGCCACCTTAAATGTTCTCTATCCTATCACCTATTCCCAGTCTATGTGATGTGTTTATATAAACTTGGTATAATAATTTATTATAGGGAAGGATTCAGTCCTCATGAGCTCATGTGAAAAACTGGATATTAGTGCTGGGGGAATTCCATGGCAGTGTCATAACACTACAAGAGAAAGGAATTAAAAAATTAAAGATAATTAAATAAAATATAAAAGAAAATAAAACCAAAATTTACAAACAATGTAAGATGAAAAATTAGGAAGAAAACTACTTATCCTCATTTGATCTCAAACTTATGCCATGCCAATCAAAAATGTCATTGCCAGTTTTTCGCTGTAAGAAAATGTGGTAAGAAATCTAAACAAAATTAACTGACAGTAAATTTAGAAATTGTGGGGTTTTTTTATAGAAATCAATCAGTGAAACCCACTTTCTCAAGGAGCCATCAGTTGGGCTGAATTCATGGATTTTAAAGAATATTTGACAATATCATGGCAGCCACCATGTTACATGTGCTGTGTACAGAGAAGGCTCCAACAATAATAATTACAAGTATTTATCTGGAATTTAATTCCCCTTTGGAAGTAAACCACCTTTGCTGTTGAGGTAAACATATAAAAGATAGTAAGGCATAAAAAAATAATTGGCTTGTCAATAAATCTGATGATGCTTTGTTCACTCACCTTCATTTTAAAATATGCAGCTGTCATGGTTTTAAAGCAGTAACTAAAAAATTACTTATTTCTTGCTGTGAGATATGGATTAGAACAAGAGCAAAACAGGCTTAAAACTTAAAAGGAATAAAGAAAGTTTATTAACAAAACTACAAGAATAATTAAAAAAACCCTCAGAATAAACTTCCAGAATACTCTTTTATCCCCCATTACTTGACCATTCTTTTGTACACGTGACAACATAGAGACAGAAAAAACTTTAGAACTTTGGTGGTTAAAACGGTCCTAATTCCTGCTAGAGTCTTTTCTTCAGTCTTTGTAGAGAAACAGAAGTCTTTTTCTGTTAATCTATGGAGTTTCTCACAAGAAAACTATTTCTGTTATAGCTTTCTATTTCCCTGATGCCAGCTGCCCAGAACTGTTGTCATCAGAGCTCACTCCTCCCATTTCACATCACTCTGAGGTGTGTATGGGCCATGAGTCTAGGGAAGTCATTTTAAGGATGAGTTATTCAAAGGCAAAAGTCTTCTTCATCTGTCTCTGTGAGCTTCGCTGGAAAACAGTTTTTCTCACTGCCCCCCAAAGGCCTCAAATCTTTGCTTCACTCTGTTCCAGCACTTCACTGTATCACAATCACTCTACTTTTTACTCAAAATCCACACTTTGAACACTCTATTCCTCCCTATATACTCTATCATGAATTAAAGGAGTGTTTTCAAGACTTTATTGTCCATCTCTATAGCTTTATGTCGTGGTTTTAAACCAGTAACTAAAAAACTACTTATTTCTTGTTGTGAGATATGGATTAGAACAAGAGCAAAACAG